GGATCAATGGACTGCCACAAAATAGCAACCAATTGATGGTCGGCTTGAGTCCATTTTTCCCTTTCAGATGCAGTTATCTCATCGGCTCTTTTGGTCAAATGTTCGGACAAACCTTGGCCTAAGAACCACATTTCAACAGAAACTTGCCAATCCATGTAGTTTCTGCCGTTAAGTTTTTCAGAAGTTATTTGGGGATTCCCAGAAAAGACAAAGGACACAAGACTCCTGGAAGAGTCAGGAGTCGTGCTGCTTGCAGGAGACATGACGTATACTGACTTGGGAACAATCTGGAATGACTAGGACTTCTATTCCTAGTGCCGGCAGACCAGTCTCGATGAAGGTTGGCTGCAGGGACAACTAGGGAAAGTGAGGATCAGGCTCTGATACCAACTTGAATTTACTGATTTGAATGAAATTGCTTAAGAGAAACTACTCTCAGCACGTCTTTATTTATAAGGCAAATAATTACAAGGAAAGAATCATATGCACATCAATCAATAATTAATTCCTGATTTGATACAATCTGTACAATAAATACTAAAATCAGGAAGGAAATCATATCAAATCTCAACAGAAAGAAAGAAGACGATACTGACGAGGCGCTTCGAGAGGCCTCAACTCTCCCAGATCCCAATTTCCCAATTCCAAAATCTGCCTGCCTTCTTATTTCTCCCTCCCTTCTATTTATACTTACCTATGGGCCAGCCCAAAACTAACTAGTACCTGGCCCAGGACCCCTTTAATAAACTATCAAATTATTTAATATACTTCTATTATTATTAGTATTATTATACTAATGGGTTCCTATCATATCTCCCCCCTTAGACAACCACCTTGTCCTCAAGGTGGGTGATAGGAACCAACCCGGACTTTCAGCTTTATCTTCATCCTTGCGCCTCTTCCTTCCCAATACCTCACTGCTTGCTGAACCAGAAGCTTCAATACTTGTTACTTCAAAATCACAAATGGTTCTGCTGCAGAAGATATGTCGAGTGCAGTTTTATTTGTTGCAGTAGCCTTCAAGCACTCACCAGCTACAAGTGTTTCCATGTTCTCACGAGACTCCTCAAGGATTATAACTTCTGAAACTATCAATGTGTTGGATGCAGATTTGATGTTACTCAAGTTACTCAATTCATTGTCAGCAACAAGTCCTATGCAAAGTTCTCCATTTTCATCCACTTTTCGGTACGACAGCTAGTATCAATGACAGAATTGCTTGTAATAGCAGGATTTGTCCCATAAAACTTCAATAGCTGACAGCAGTTGTGCACAACAGTGCTGTCATGCGATTTCAGATTCTCTAACCGCCAAAGTCCCAAATCTGAGAATTTTTCTTCTTTCCTTTCCCCTATAGGCTGAAACCCCAGTGATGACGTTAACTGATTAGCAAAGCCAAGTCCAGAACCCTTGCTTCCTCTCCCATCCGGGCCAGAATCAATTACAGTACGGACCTCATCAATTAGAAGGCTATGCTCAACCACCAGAAGCTTTCTGAATGGTATAATTGCTTTAGTCTCTTGAGAAACAATGTTTTGAGTAAATCCATCCTCAGCCATAGCAGAATTTGTGTTCATGCCCTGAACACCAGCATTCTCCTCAACCTGAATCTGCTCATCAAGGAGTACTGAACTAGGAAAAACTTCAACTTCCTTTGACACTTCACTCATTGACCTAAGATTGACAGTAACATTTTCAGAAGTAGCAGGATAAACTTTACCCAAAACCGAGTCGAAGGATTCCACAGAACTTCGAGAAGCTTCAGAAACTGAATGTCCCAACGAAGCATGAACTGCAGCCACCGTAGTCCTAATAGGTAGTACCAGAACCTCCACACCCGTAGTGGTAGAATTTCGAGTACCTTCAGTGCCACGTTGCTTGGAACTTTTATCATTAGGAACACTAGGATCAGATTGCCCCAGATTCTGCGAAACCATTGCAAGTGGGGACGATTGAGTTGTATCATTTTCCGAATAGGGTTCCATGATCGACTTTACAGCCGGCTTCCAGTCAGTGTTCCTTGTCGGTGGTGGATTTCCCAGCAATCCATTCCTTGATTCGACTAAGTCTACAACTCTGGAAACGGATGCTTCGGGTAAGAACGATGAAGCTGATGAAGCTAGCGCACTGTGAGACACGACTTGAGATGTCATCTGTAAACTGGTAGAAATAGTTCGCATCTGCGAACTGGGAGAATTGGTTCGCATCTGCGAACTACGAGGAACAACAAAAGATGATGCTGACTTCGAGGTCACCTGCGAACTACAGAGATCTGTTCGCGAAGAAGTTAGTGATTGTGAACTGTGCGATGAAGTTCTCGAAGAAGCAAGATAAATGGACGGAAGTGCTCGCGACTGAGAAGAGACCTACGCACGCGACGAGGTCTGCGAACTAGGTAAACCGTTCGTGATTGCGAACTAGGAAGAGCTAAGGTCGAAGAAACCTGAGAGCGGACAGAATCTGCTAGCGCTGAGGATGAAAAGACCTGCGAACAAGGAGAAGCCGTTTGCGACTTCGAACTGGGAGAAACAGTTCGCGATGGCGAAGTTGTCGATTGCGCTTTGGAAGTTTCTTCGTGCGACGCACTTAGTGACGAATTCCTACGGTGTCTAGGAAGACTCCTGGCTCTGTCTCTATGTCGCTTGAGTCTGTGACGAATTTTGCCCAACATATGACACATCTCCTTAGCCCAATCACTTTCATTCTTTTCTGCCAGCTTCTCTCCTTTACCGCGCGAAGCTTCCTGATCGGATCTTCCCTGTTGCCTGCGCGAGTCCTTTCCTCCTTGCGTAGACTGAAGCTTCTCCATGTTCGCGCATAACTGTTCCTTGCTGGTGCGTTTCGCACTGTTCGCGCGCAAACCAGATAGGAACTCTAATTTTGTAACAGTAAATTGATCGTAAAATTGTAGAAAGAAAGAAGACGATACAGACGAGGCGCTTCGAGAGGCCTCAACTCTCTCAAAGCCCAATTTCCCAATTCCAAAATCTGTCTGCCTTCTTATTTCTCCCTCCCTTCTATTTATACTTACTTATGGGCCAGCCCAAAACTAACTAGTACCTGGCCCATGACCCCTTTAATACACTATCACAATTATTTAATATAGTTCTATTATTATTAGTATTATTATACTAATGGGTTCCTATCATGTTCGTCAAAATTGAACTTCTGAAAATGAAGGTTTTCATATTACACTTAGGGTTAAAGTAAATGTCATTGAAATTACTTATGATTGTTTGTTCATATCGTGTAGCTTCTTCGTATAGTTTATCCATTTAATTTAACATCAAATTACAATATGCCTTTGTTTATAATCAAATTAAAAAGAGTGAGTCAAAAAAAACCTGAATGCTTCAAATTTTAAAGAAGATGCGGACTTGCGGAGATATCTTTGGCCTCCCTGGGTGTTCTGATACGAAACATAAGTTTATTGTTTGGGTCAGGGATATCCCTGGGCTTTTTTCAGCGGTGCAGTTTTGAAATTCGACGGATATTTTTTGGATTACAGCCTTCAATTACCACCAAAGTGTCGATAGAAAATTATATTTGCTGAGTCATGCTATTTGACAGACCTGCTGAAATTAGACAGAGCTATTTGACAACAAAAATGCTGTTTGTAGTCTTTGTACCCACCCTTATACCCACTTTTATACCAATCATGTTTGTGCAAATTTTACACAGACAAAATAAGACATGTTTTGTTTGTGAACCGGATTCATAGACAATAAAAAACCTTCGCAGACATGGTGAGTATAAGGTGGGTATAAGGGTGAGTACAACAAGAATGATTGATTTGACAATGCATTTGTGAGATGATATTTTTGACAGACCTGCTATTTGACAGTGTCTACCCTTTGCATTTCCACTCAGCACTACCAGAAAAATACAGTACCATTGGATATAATATTTTTACCCCAATGTCTATTTTTTTTTGGATGAAATACCCCAATGTCTATTTTGTATACATGGCAATGCATTTATAACAAATTCACATTGCGATTAACGATGTTCTTAGGGATTAGGGCTATATGTCTGAGACCATATCCTCACTCTACCAGTTGTAACTGAATCTATCATATGATTCATATCTTCTTACAACACAAACAAGTGAACCAATGTCCAGCGAAATATAATATTGTACTTTTTAATCTGGGACTGGTGAAATTGCAATAGGTGAATGCTAGCTAGTATCTTAGAAAAAAGTTTCCAAGTTTTGATGACTTACAATGTTTTGTAATAAAAGATGCTGGGGTCTGAGGGTGAACCCATGTGTGTAAAAACTTGTTCCCCGATTTTTGCATTTTACATATTGATCTACTCAAGTTTTTAATGTTCTTTGATCAAGTGGGACTTCTTGTTTCAGCAGTTAATGATATCATTTTAATGACAATTTATGGTTGGAGCAGAGAAGAGTATCAGCTTCTGAATCTCATGTTTGGTCCTATTATAAAACAAAATTTGTATAAAGCTTTTCAAAATGACATTAGTTCTGAGCAGGCAAGTTAACCTTATGTTTTATTGCATTATGTCAATTTTTCACTTACATTACTCAAACTACCAGTAAAAAAAACCGTGCTCATACTTTAAAGAATGTAGTGCATGATATGTGCTTCGTCCAAAGCACGTATCATGTATCGATTCATATTAGCCAACCCCAAAATCTTTTGGGACTAAGTCTTGGATGTTGTTGTTGTAGTGGATAATTTATTGTGAGATAATGTTGTCCATTTCCACAAGCTTCTATTATTATATGCTGTTTAATATCTTAGGCAAACAAAATCTTGATAACTCAAATCAACAACAGGGATTTAGTTTTTGTAGCATCATGCGGGTAACAACCTGTTTTAGTCTATAGAGCCCTTCTCTAATGGCATATTTGTTGAGGGTTTTGGAGGGGAAGGGAAGGAAGTGTTGGTTTTTGTTTTACTAACTTATCTCCATTTGATAGTCTTAGACTAGAAAATAAAGACTCCATCCGTTTTAACTTATGTGGTTTTTAGATCATGTTCCGACGGAGTGGAGTGGCACATGAATAGAGAAAATGAAATTGTGTAGCTTAGATTTATGGAGAATGGAGTTATGAAGATGAATGAGACAATCAGACAAAGGGTGGGAGTAGCACCTATTGAAGACAAGATGCGGGAGTCGCGTCTACGGTGGTTTGGTCATGTGCGTAGAAGACCGAGTGATGCACCTGTCAGACGAGTTGAGATGTGTGGAGAAGAGGCAAAGAAGAGAGGGAGAGGAAGACCCAAACAGACGTGGGTTAGGGGAGTTCGAAGTGATATGCTTCTTCTGGGGTTGGATGAGGGCATGACTTTGAAGAGAACTAAGTGGAGGGCAGGTATTCGCGTGAAGGAGTGATCTCGTATCATCTTTTTCCCTCATCTTTTTTTTTCCTTGTTTTTTATCCTTATATATATAAGCATTATTTGTAGCCTTTTTATTTTATCATTCTTATGTATATTTTGGGACCTCAATATGTTAGCTGACCTCAATATCTTTTGGGACTAAGGCTTGGATGCTGTTGTTGTTGTTGTAGAGTTATGAAGATGAAGTAGTATATCTGGAGTTCAATCCTGTGTTATTTTTCATCTTCACCTTCTTTCCAACCCATGTAAATGTGATGAAAAATTAATAAATTAAATATTGTTCCTCTCCTACTAAATTCCCAAGAAACAACAACAACAACATTATCCTAGTGCCGCAAAAGTCCCCACATATGGTGGGGTAAGGGAGGGTCGGATGCACGCAGCCTATGATGAAAATAGCATGGTGAGACTGTTTCCGGATGACCTATGATGAAAATCACATTGGAAATTGCATGACCTGAGTGCTTCTTCGTAACAAAGAAGCGCAGACAGTTTAGTGAGCCATTTCGCTTTAGTCCATCATATTCTTAAGCAAAAAAACAGTGAGTCTTTGGCTCCATTGGAAATGATGGAAATAAATCCCCCACCAAACAAATTTAAGATTTTTTTCACATTCCGTTTAATACAATGTGTTTTCATAATGAAGCTCAATTTTAGTTTGAATGTAAGAATAAATTAAAATCTAATATTACCGAAAATCTGATCCTTTGTATGACATTGCACTGATAGTTTCTTTCCTTTTACAGAACGCACAATCAAGGGTTGCTGAGAATATACCACCTGTTCAAGAAAATGTCACAGATCAGGTATTTTTTCATGAATAGTGGCACTAAATGTGAACCCTTAAGGGAGACATTGCTATGTGCCAGACGTTCATCGGGTCAATGAATATATGCCTGCCCCACATGAATATATTCCTAGAATGTCCATATTTAATGTATGGTTCCTCATTTTTATGTTCCTAACTTGTTTGCACTTTGCACAAGTTATTGGTTTTCATATCATCACACTCTCAAGCTGGAAAAACTGAGATTTTTTTCTCATGGTGACATAATGATAATAAAGTATCAATTATGTTATGACAGATTAAGCTGTGGGAATCAGTTCAGAATCTGAACAGGATCGAAAGGATGCCAGGCCATTGTACGAGGAGTTATCCTCGAGAATAAACTCCGCACATCGTCAAAGCATCCATATTCTTTACGAAAGCCAGTTTGGTAGTGTTGTCTCTTTTGAACCGCGATACTTTGTTTTTTCGAATGCTTGTTTCGTGAAAGACTAAAATAGAAAAATGGTGCAGATTAAAAACTCACAACAATAATTCTCCGCTCATCAAAACATCCATATTCCTTACTAAAGCCAGTTCGGTACTGTTATCTCCTTCAAACCGTGATACTTTGTTTTTTGAAATGCTTGTTTTGTAAAAGACTAAAATAGAAGAACGGTGCAGATTGAAAAGTTACAACAATAATTCAGTTTTGAATTCCATGTGGCCATATCACAACATTTCAACATTGAGTTTTGTGAAATAAAATCGATGGACACTTAATAAATAAGAAGTCTGGCACCTCATTACCAAAATACATCTCCATCTGTTGAAATAGAGCATATAAGAGTAAATGATATCGGAGAGGAAAGGATTTTCTGTGTATTTTATTAGAGGGTTAAGGCCCTATATATTATTACAAAGATGGAATATTCCTATATAAGATGCTATACAATAATAATGTCTAGAGTATATTCCTAAAGCATATTCTAGAGCATATTCCTAAAGCATATTCCTAGATACAATAATACTTTCACACTCCCCCTCAAGTTGGAGCATAGATATTTATCATGCCCAACTTGTTACATAAGTAATCAACTCGAATCCCATTTAGAGCTTTAGTGAATAAATCTCCAAGTTGTTCTCCAGTCTTCACATACCCGGTAGAGATTAATCCTTTTTGTATCTTCTCTCGAATAAAATGGCAATCAACCTCAATATGCTTTGTTCTCTAGTGAAATACGGGGTTGTTTGCTATGTGTATAGCAGCTTGGTTATCGCACCACAACTGAGCAGGCATTGGTGTCTTCAATCCAATTTCATTCAATAAATGGTGTATCCATATTATCTCACATGCGGATTGTGCCATAGCTCGATATTCTGATTCAGCACTAGAACGAGAAACCACATTCTGTTTCTTACTCTTCCAGGATACAAGATTACCACCAACAAAGACACAATAGCCAGATGTAGATCTTCGATCATCTTTAGAACCGGCCCAATCAGTATCTGCAAAGCATTCTATTCTCATGTGATCATGGTTTTGATAAACAATACCTCGTCCTGGTGCTCCCTTTAAGTAACATAATATGTGTTCTACAACAGCCCAATGATCAATGGTCGGAGATGACATGTATTGACTCACTACACTCACAGAATAAGCAATATCTGGACGGGTGACTGCGAGATAATTAAGCTTTCCAACCAATCTTCTATATCTTTTTGGGTCTTCAAACGGTGTGCCTTCTTGAGTGAGTTGCACGTTGGGAACCATGGGTGTTGTACTTGGTTTTGCCCCTAATTTCCCTGTCTCAGCTAGTAAGTCAAGTACATATTTACGTTGAGATAGAAATATGCCTTTCTTACTTCGTGTTACCTCAATTCCCAGAAAGTATTTCAAAGAGCCAAGATCTTTCGTCTGGAATTGACTATGCAGAAAATTCTTAAGGGCCAAAATACCTGCATTATCACTCCCTGTAATCACAATATCATCAACATATACCACAAGCAATGTGACACCTGATTCTGTTTGTTTGTAAAACACAGAGTGGTCTGATTTGCCTTTTATCATTCCAAATTGTTCAATTGATTGACTGAATTTCCCAAACCATGCACGAGGACTCTGTTTCAGACCATAAAGAGATTTGCGAAGTCGACAAACTTTACCATACTCCCCCTGAGCAACAAATCCCGGAGGTTGCTCAATATAGATTTCTTCCTTAAGGTCACCATGCAAAAATGCATTTTTAATGTCCAATTGATGTAAGTGCCAATCATGAATTGCAGCGAGTGAGATAAGTAACCTGACAGATGTTAATTTAGCAACAGGAGAAAAAGTGTCAGAATAATCAACATCATAGGTTTGAGCATAACCCTTCGCAACTAATCGGGCTTTCAACCGAGCAACGGATCCGTCTGGGTTAACCTTAACAGCAAAGACCCACTTACATCCAATAGATTTCTTCTCTGTAGGTAAGTCAACCAAATCCCATGTACCATTAAGATCTAAAGCATTCATTTCCTCTACCATGGCTTGACGCCATTCAGGATGAGACATAGCTTCTTTGACAGATTTGGGAACAGAAATAGAATCAATGGAAGCAATAAAAGAACATGAAGCAGGAGATAACTGATTGTACGACACAAATGAAGAAATAGGATGAGTACAAGACCGTGTACCTTTACGTACTGCTATTGGGAGATCAAGATCTGATGTGGAAACAAGATCTGAAGATGCAGATACTGGTTCAGGACATGAGATCGGAGTCGAACTAGTATCCAGAAAAGTAATCACAGGTATCGCCGGTGGAGGGTGATCAGGTGCTTTGTGTCGACGGGTGTATACCAAATGTACGGGAGGCCTAGGGTCATGAACAGTAACTTGTGGAATATTTGTCGAAAGTGTGGACTCGGGAATAGTCATCGTGTAAATGAGAATATCATCATTACTCTCACGAATATCTGCCTTAGATGATGAAAAAGGTCTATTTTCATGAAATGATGCATCAATAGAAACAAGATACCGACCAGTACTCGGACAAAAACATCTATACCCCTTTTGGACTCGAGAATAACCGAAGAAAATACATTTTAATGATTTCGGATCTAACTTTGTTAGATGAGGATTAACATCTCTAACAAAACAAGTGCAACCAAATATTTTAGGTGGGATAGGAAAAAGCTCTCTGTTTGGAAATAGACAATGATAAGGAGCTTTACCATTCAAAACAGAAGATGGCATTCGATTTATCAAAAAACATGCAGTAGACACGGCATCTGCCCAAAACTGTTTAGGCACATTCATTTGGAATAGAAGAGCCCTTGCAGTTTCCAACAGATGTCGGTTCTTTCGTTCCGCAACTCCATTTTGAGGAGGTGTATCAACGCATGAAGTTTGATGAATAATGCCATGTTGAAGCATAAATGACTTAAATGTAGCAGATAGATATTCTTGGGCATTGTCTCCTCTTAACACCCGAACAGGAACGTTAAACTGAGTTTTAATTTCAGCACAAAAGGAAGAAAAATGAGTGAACAACTCAGATCGACGTTTCATGAAATACAACCATGTCATACGAGAATAGTCGTCAACAAAGGTAACAAAATATTTAAAACCAGCTTTAGACACAACCGGGCAAGCACCCCAAACATCAGAGTGAACAAGGTCAAATGGAGCATTTGCTCGTTTATTAACTCGCGGGCCTAAGCTAGTACGATGGTGTTTCGCAAATTGACATGACTCACATTGTAAAGAGGTCATCTTATTAAATTGGGGATTTATTTGCTTCATTAATGGGAGAGATGGATGTCCTAATCGGTAATGAGCATCTAACAAAGTCCCAACCCCAAGACAAGAGATACCTTTGGTGATGGATGTATCCAAAATATATAGACCAGCTGACTCATGTCCTTTACCAATAATCTGCATCGTTAACAGATCCTGAAACACACAATATCCCGGAAAAAATGTTGCAGAACAGTTAAGAGTACGAGTGATTTTACTGATGGAAAGCAGATTAAATGCAAAATTAGGAAGACTCAAAACAGGCGATAATGGTAATGTAGAAGTTGGAACAACAGTACCAGATCCAAGAACGGGTGAGGTAGATCCATCAGCTAAAGTGACACTAGAAGTAGGTAAATATGAATGAAATGACGAGAATAGACTAGGATTACCGGTCATATGATCTGTGGCACCTGAGTCAATGACCCATTTCGAGGATGAAACAAGACACGTGTTTGAAATACCTGAATTAGCGGTTACCGAGATAGGGACAGAAGAATGCTTTAGAGTTTCTTGGTAGCAAATAAATTTGGCATACTCGTCTGAAGAAATAGCAATTGATCCATCGGATGAACTGGTAGCGGAAGCAACATGAGCAAGCTGATTTCCTTGATTTTTGAACAACAATTTTCTACATTCTTTGATCAAGTGTCCGGGCTTCTTACAATAATGACATATTATTCTTCGGCCAGACTGATCAATGGAAGTCATTTCTTTTTTTTTTCTCTTTTTTTTGTTGTGTCTGTCGGCACTATACTCAAAGCAGTATATTCAAATATGGTGGATGGGGATATTAAAATAAACCCTGACACGAAACTTCCCTTCTGGAAATTTTCAGAAGCAAGGACAGACCTCTCTCTCCTCACCAGAAGAATAGATCGGTTACCACCAGTTTTGAAATCAACTCCAAATAAGGCAGATCACTATCCATGCCAATTCCCAATCTGAAGAATAGTTTGGTATACCTACTGTTCATTTCAACAATAGTAATCGATCCATTTCCTACTTGTGCTCTATTCCCTTAGAAACACATCAGATTAAAAAAAAAACCAGAGTGGGTTCCAGGTGATAGAAATAGAATTGAAATTCAAAAAACGAGTAAACCTGGAAATCAATAGCCCTAGAAGATAAAGGAAACTAAGACGAGCCACTGAAATTCTGAATCGTATCCGACGGAAATTCCAGCCAGCGACTAGGTCTCACGCGCCGGCGCGTGCGTCGGCGTGGACTTCAGGCGGCGCGTGTGGATCACGCGCGTCGATTTTCTGCTGCGGACTTCAGGGGCCTGGTCGCCGGTGGAATGTGTACCTTCTGGAATCTGAGGTGAGATAAGGGTTACTGGATGCCTGGACCCCAAGGTTGCTGTGACGTGATGCTGGTGTTCAAAGGCCAAGGGGCTGGGAAACTAAAAAAGATAATATGCTTACTAAAAATTCTAAGCTGATTTTCTGAAATGATCGGATGTTCTGAAATGCTCTGATACCATGTTGAAATAGAGCATATAAGAGTAAATGATATCGGAGAGGAAAGGATTTTCTGTGTATTTTATTTGAGGGTTAAGGCCCTATATATATTACAAAGATGGAATATTCCTATATAAGATGCTATACAATAATAATGTCTAGAGTATATTCCTAAAGCATATTCTAGAGCATATTCCTAAAGCATATTCCTAGATACAATAATACTTTCACACCATCCATAACACTCGTATGCTCCTCCTTTGTCCCATCTTCACATGACTTGTTTTAGGTTCGTCCTAAAATTAAGTTCATTTTACTAAATTAAGTATCACTAACGTTTTGATTTCGGTTTTGTGCTATTTTGTTTTAGTTCACCGTTTTCCTCTATGTGGGACCCACATTACTTTTGTTCTTTTTATGAGGCTAAAATAGTTAAACAACAGCTATCTCCTTGGTTTAAAAGCACATGCCAATCCCAAATGTATCCTACATTAAGAGGCGGGTGGAGGAATAATTTACCCAAAGTCTTTACTTTGCAGAACTTTCAGTATTTTTTGTTCACAGATCAATACTTTTTTAATATCATCAATACAAAACATGACATGTTCTTTCAACGTTTGTTTCGCTTTGTTATTGGAGTTTACTATATATATTTTCCCCGTTTACAGGATGCTTTTGAGTCTGCTAGAAAAAATGAGGACTGTTCTGGGAGGAGTACTCAAAGCGAATGTCTGTTGTTGTAAAGGAAGAAGTTCATGCTATCATGAAAGATTTTGTTCGTCGAAAGCAATAGTTTTTGTTGTGTGTTAATTTTTATGAGTGCGTTAGTTAAGTATTGAGATGTGCAGTTAATACTCTTACTGGAACTTGGATCATTGGATGTATGTGGACTAGTGATGGATTCGGGCTGGGTCGGGCCGGGCCTAGGCCCGGTCGGGCCGCCGGTTCAAGAAAAGTGGGCCCGGGACCGGCCCGCGGGTTGGACGGGTCCGGTTCGGGCCGGGCCACCCGCCCGGGTCACGGGTCGGGTCCGGTTCGGGCCGGGCCGGTTATTTTTTTTTATATAATTTATATTTATAGTTTATAGTTTTATACGAGTATTAAAAACAAACTTCAATTGTATTTATTTGAAATGAAATAGGAACTACATATAAGAGAAACATTTTGAAAATTGTAATCAAACGGAACTTCCTGCACCTCCTGATCCTTTGGCTTTATCACATGACTTCATATGCTTGATTGCCATCCCGAATCCGCCTGAAGCCCCCATTATACATTTTTTTCGCACCATTTGCAAATTGTGTACCACATCCCGGTCTTCGGGTCCTTCTGCTTATCAAAATTATACCGTATAATGGCATTTTGATTTTACATCTTAACTTCTTGGAGAAGAGAATATGAGAGTAGATATATAATATATTGGAGAATAAGAGAATTAGAGAGTAGAGAGATAAGAATAGGAAGAATTGGAGAAGAGATATGAAAAAATGTTTAAGATTAGGAGTATTTATAGGTTTTTTTTACCCCACCCCACCAACCCCCCGGACCCCCCCTTTACCCCACTCAACGGCTATATAGCCGTTTGGGTTGTCCCCAGCCCCACCCATAACGGCTAGTAGGAGCCCAAACAAAAAAAAAAAATTTAAAAATTGGACCGGACCCGGGCCTGACCCGGCCGGGCCGGGTCACAAAAATGCTGAACCGAGCCCGCCCCGCCCTTCCCACCGGTTCGGGCCCATACCCGGTCCCGAACCGGGCCGGTCCCGGGCCCACACAGTACCGGGCCGGGCCGGGTCACGGGCCGGGCCGGGTCACGGGCCGGGAGGCCCGAACCGAATCCATCCCTAATGTGGACATATTTTGGCTCGGACTATTCCGAGCGAAGTGTTTGATCGCTGGCCGCACTTACACTTGAGCTTTGGGATTTAGTCCGCGTGCCAAAATGTCATATATTCACGAAAAAGGTAAATTTTGAGATGGCAAATTGCACTTAAATATATAAATAATGGACACTTGTTAAAACATCAATATAATTAAAACATAAACATATTACTATTAAAGACTAATAGTAAAATACACAATAAAAGAGTTCATCAACAAATTATGTACTCACTCAGTCTCATAAAACTTGACCAAAATTCCTTTTTCTGGTTGTCCCAAAAAAGTTTATCATTTCTATTTAAGGTAAGAAATACTCCCTCCGTTCTTAAATACCTGTCCCGCTAGCCTTTGGCACGGGTTTTAATAACAAAATAGTAGGGGTAAAGTAAAAAGTGTAGTGGGATGTGATTAAATGGAAAAGTAGGAAAGAGAGTAGATTAATAAATGTAGTGGAGGAGGAAAGGAAAGAGAAAAACATTAAAAAACAAAGGAAAGAGAGTGTTTGAACGCACTTATTCTTACAAATAACAATGAGTGTTGCGTACTTTTCTAGCAGATCTGTTTTTAGATGAGTGGAGTAGGTTATGCTTGTATTCCTCCAGAAGAGATGATGCTTATTGAGCTAGGGGTTCGAGCTGAAGCAGATGAAGGTGTTGCAGATTCTGAAGATGACACCCCATTTGATGAGAACACAGAACCAAACACAGAAGGTAATGTACCTGCAAACCATGTATATCAATCACAAAGACAAAAAGAAGGATAATAGCAGAAGATTTGTTATCAAAGTCAAATCAATGTTGTGACACAAAAATGTTGACTTGTAAGAGAGGAGTAATTAAAGAAGTTGCCAGTACCTACAATGTTTGCACCAAAACAATTGGTAGAATCTGGGCAACAACAAAAAAACAAGTTGAACAAGGTTTGGAGATAAACACAGATGGTAAAAAGAAAGGGAACTCTGGCAGGAAAATGATACCTATTGATATTCAACACATACGTGCCATTCCAAAAAGCAACATGACCACCCTAAGAAGCTTGGCAGCTTCTCTAGAGGCCAGTGTTTCCAAAGTCCATAAGTTACTAAGTAGTGGTATAATAAGAGCACACACAAATGCAATAAAGCCTGCTTTGAACGAAAACAACAAACTGGAGAGATTAAAGTGGTCAATGTGTCACATTATTCCAAGAAGCATCACTCAACCTTCACAGTTTACAAAAATGTTCAATGTCATACATGTGGATGAGAAGTGGTTCTTTATGAGCCAAGTTACTCAACGATATTATCTTTTACCCTCAGAGGAGGATCCTCATAGAAGCTGTCAAAGTAAAAGATTTATCAACAAGGTCATGCTTCTGGCATCCATTGCTAGACCATGGATCCATGATGATGGATCAATTATATGGGATGAAAAAATTGGAATATTCCCTTTCACAGAATCAGTGGCAGCAAAGAGAAAGAGCAAAAACAGACTTGCAGGCACATTAGAAATTAAGGCAACCACATCCATCACAAAGGAAGTCATCAGAAATGCATTTCTTACAGTTTTGATTCCAGCTATCAAAGAAAAATGGCCCCCTAATGCATGTAAAAGTGTATGGATACAACAAGATAATGCAAAGCCTCATATTGGTATGAATGATGAAGCTTTTAAGGTTGCTGGTAGAATGGATGGGTGGGATATGCAATTGGTATGTCAGCCACCTAATTCCCCTGATCTAAATATCTTAGATCTGGTTTTTTTTTAGGGCAATACAAACACTCCAGTACCAGAAAAGTCCAAAGACAATCCAACAATTGGTTACAGTAGTAGAAGAAGCATATGCAGAATTTGAAGCACACAAGATAAATCACAATTGGCTTCAGCTACAATGTGTCATGGTTGAGATTTTGAAATGCAAGGGAGGCAACAACTACAAAAGCCCTCACATGGGAAAACAAAGATTGGAAAAACAGGGGATGCTACCAAGTAATTTGGAAGTTAATGATGAATTGATTTCAGAAACAGTTGGTCATCTAAATGCTGCATTAAGGGACAATGACACAATGACCCCTCCCCCCCCACATGTTGAATACATCTAATCCTCACCCTAGGTATGTAAATTATTGTACTCCATGATATGCAATTGCAAGGTCATTTAACTGATGTAGTGAATGAACTACAAAGTTTTGTGTTTTGCCCATTTCAGTTAATGTACAATGCAATGTAAACTTCATGTTTTTGCCCATTACAAGTTAATGAAATGCATTTGTGTATTCATCATTTAACTTCCTTGTATTTCTCAGATATACTCCATACTGTATATCATCATCGAAACTGTGAATGCTTTCTCATAGAAATGAGAAAGCATATAGACAAATCAGAGAGCATACAATGAATTCAGATACACGTCAATGATTTCTCAGAAAAGAATGTTATCATAAAATGAGAGAGCATACACTGAAATTAGAGACACAACAATGAATTCTCAAAACACAATTGTTATCATAGAAATCATAGAGCATACAGTGAAATCAGAGATACAACAATCATTTTACAATAGGTTTGTTATCATAGAAATCAGAGAGCATACACTGAAACCAGAGACACAACAATGATTTCTCAATTCGGTTTGTTATCATAAAAATCAGAGAGCATACTTCTGAAATCAGATACGCATCAATGATTTCTAAAAAAATGTTATCATAAAATGAGAGAGCATACACTGAAATCAAAGACACAACTATGAATTCTCAAAACATAATTCGTATCATAGAAAGCATAGAGCATACAGTGAAATCAGAGACACAACAATCATTTTACAACATGTTTGTTATCATAGAAATCAGAGAGCATACACTGAAACCAGAGACACAACAATGATTTCTCACATTAAAAGGCAGCAAAGGAACATACACATTACACAGTATTCGCAAATCATAGTTCATGTTGATTCAAAGTAGACACTTCAGTACATGCGAGTACATATTTACGCACAATACAAAAGAAAACAGAGAACATATGACTTATCGGCAACTGCATGTGCACTATCTACACTCAAATACCGTCAACGCTTCCACAGTTCATCCCAGCCTTTTTCGGAATCAGATCCAACCTTCTTTTGAGGCAGTATTAGTTTCACCATGGCGTTGGTCCATTGTAGATGTGCGTTGTCCGCAGCTTCAGTCTTCGCTAGATCTGGAACACACATGCCACCATTGAAATGTTGGACCGGCGTTTCAGGCAGACATGGGTCAGAATCGGAAGGTTGGATGTCGGAATCGGAAAGTAAATCCGGCTTTTGAAGGACAGATGGATAAGGACTAATCTGCTCAGACGGGAGATCCATCTGGCCTACAATGGTAGTGCGAGAAGAGAGCGAAAGAAGGAGGGGGTAGAAGTTGAAAGGTTGAGGGTGATGATACGAAGATAATGCTAGGCGTTAGATGAGAAGTGGAAGATGGTTAGGCGGTGGGGTGTAATTAAGGTGGTGGGTGGGGAGAATTAAATGAGTTTAGGTGTAGGGATAATAAATGAGGGTAAAAAATGAAAGGGTATATTGGTATATTTACAGTAAAAAATTTCCTTAAATGGAAAGGAGGACAAATAATAAAAAACAGACCAAAATGGAAAGCGAGAGAGATAATAAAGAACGGAGGGAGTATGTGCTAAAGTAATTTATCACCTCTCTGTACAAATTTCAACTACACAATTTTGTATTTTATTAATCTACGTTCAAGTCAACTTTGGTCAAAACAATTGGGATGGAGGGATTATCATGACTCATGAGGATGGAGCCTAGGGCATCGGGATGAGGTTTAATGCACCCCTCGTGAAATATTAATTCGGCGCATTAGTCTTCTGTGATTTAAAATATGATTCAAATTCATCTGTGTTATAATTAATCATGCGCCAAACTCCCTTAAAGAACAAATTTTTGTATAATTTAGAAATTTTGACAAAGATACTTGCACATTCAACCATATTATTAAAAAAATGATTTAATAATTGTAAAATTTATTCTTGAAAGGTTTTGCGCATGATTAATTAAAACACATGAGATTTTGACGTATTTTTTAAATCATATGGGCTAATGCGCTGAATTTATATTTCACATGGGGGAATTTGATGCATTTATATTTCACAATGTTCGGGAAGTAAATAAGTTGGGCATTGACACGTCCGAATTTGTAGTTCAAACGAGTTCCTCGGAAATTGGACATCCTAGTCATCAGAAAAATTAAAAACATCAAAATAATCGCTCAAAGAAAGTCGAACTAGCTCAACAAAAGTCCAGTCTGTAAATGACAGAAAACATAAGCATAAACGGTTCCA